CCCCAAAACCCCAAAAACCCCAAAACCCCAAAACCCCATGATCTGAATATTTTCAAAAATTATACAAAATTTCAAAAGCAAAAATAATAATATCAGTTTTATATCAGAAAAATATCAAATTGTAGGAAGATGAAACTCTTCATCCTAAATATTAATATTTATGGTGTTTTCCCTAGTTTTGCTATCACTTTTGTAAATTTATCTCTTATAATGTTAATTTTGAACATTTGCTTAACCACTATCTAAATTTTTAAGCATTCCTGACAAATTCAGTTTTTTCCTGTGCTTAACCATTTCTTTATAATATGGGCTTTCAGAGATTGAAGTGGCAAGAGATGAAATACTATTTGGATATTATTAAATGGGTTGAAGCAGATTAGTAGAATTATTTTGATTACTACTGTTAACATTTTCCTACTATTTTATATTCTCTAGCTTTTATCTCAATAGAATTCTATTTTTGCTTGCTATCTACTTGTATTTATCTTTAGAAATTGGAGGCACTAGTGGAGGTCTGCCTATCTTACTATAGATAACCTAATTTTCAATTTCATTTAGTCTTTTGTCAATTTAATCTATAGAGCTTTGAAGCATGTGGAAGTTACTATCATTATTTGGGAATTCAATTTAATCTGAGGAGATGTTATGATTCATATTGGTATTCTTAGGTGTTGCAAATAATCTCTATATCTTATCGACATCGATTCTATCGAGAGAAGTGTTCTTTCTTACTTTGAGTGCTTGGAGATTTTTATAGAATTTTGAGTCTATTAAGTCATCTTCTGTTTACTCTAAAGATTAAGATCGATACTTGTCACCAGCACTATTACTCATTCCTCTAATTCTGACATAAGTCTGATTTCTTCTTTGCTAAATTTTTTCAGGTTCTTACTTCTTAAGCACTACTTTCTTTATTGGCTTGGGTATTTTAAATTTGACACCGGAACTTTCACTTGACATTGAGATACATAAGAAACACTCTTCACAGACGTAAGTCGTCTAATTTTGAAAATTGATATCTTCTTTTAGTTCCTAATATTGATGCAGTGTCATTTAGGGATATAGCTATTTGAGTATGAAAGGAATAATCAGCGTCTTAATCTTGGGTTTATCCTTGCTTAGAATATTTTGAATCCAGTTTTGTGTGGTCCTGAAATCATCAGTCTTCCTCATTTCGCCTGCACTTTACACTCTTTTCCATTACTTCTACATTTCTTTTTTCTCCTCTTTTTTTTCTTATGTATCAGCATTATCATTTTCAAAGTTTTTAGGAGCTGGCTTTATTTCAATTCCTTTCAGAAGGCTATTTTACCTTTCTACCAGATCTTTGGGATTTTAAATTTCTCTTTAAACTAAATATTTAGAATCCTTGAAAGCTCTTAAATCATGGTCTTAGATAACCATCTTCATCGTAATTTCATACATTCTATCAGGTTCCATTAGAAAGTTACAACTAAGGCATTTACTTTCCCTATGCAAATTAGTTGGTGCCTTGGATGAGTGAGTTTGGCCATGCCTTATGGTTATAGGCAACTATAATATTTAGCAATTTTACTTATAATCTTACAGATGGTTTATGCTCAATTCTTAAAGGAAGAGCATTTAGAGTTTAGTTTTTAGGAACTGAAAATTCAACCATTTTAATATCTTCAGATTTGTAAGTTTTACCCTCTATTCTCAATGATGAACACCATAATAACCAAATCTTATCATTTTTGTCAATCTTAAAATTCAACACCATTCTGTTTGGTCTTATTTTTTCAAAAGTCACATTGGAGATATGCTAAGAGATACTATTTGCAACAGTTTAAAGTCTTTAAGGAAGATGAGACCCACGTAAAGGAACTAAAATTTAATAAGATTTAATTTACATATTCGAGAATGGAACTCCTCTCCTTCATAGGTCACTACTCTTTCATACATATCATACTTTTAATCATATAAGTCCTTCAGGTTTTCTTTTCTTTCAAATACACATATCTTTGGACTCCATACTATCCTCAATACCTCTGTAATGTAAATAAATAAATTCTTTATACAATTAAAATCTCCTTTAGGATCAACAAATTTTTAAAGAACTCCATTGTAAGGCTTATCCCTCTCATGCAGAAATTTCACTATACAGAAATTAAATATCCTTAATTATTTACAAAAGCCTTGCTTATCAAAATACTCAAAATATGTTTGCAGACTTGAGTCATCTCTATTCAATTCATCATTTTTGAAATCAAAATCATCAGTTTTATGTTTTGTCTCTCCATTATTCCCTCCATTTTAGTTTTACTTACTTTGAGAGTTCTTACGTTGATGAATACTCAAGCCATCATAGTTAGCATTAGCTAATTCATCATCTTATTCAATATCATAATCCTACTACTATTCATTTATTCTGATTTTCTACTGCTTATTCATCACATTTACTATGTTTCTTTCTGTTTTGTTGTAAATATAGACAGCAACAATGCCGCTGCCACTAATATTCTTTAAAAATGCCTCCTCAATAGATTTATTATTGAGATTTTTCTTATTTTTTCTTAAAATTGTCCCATCAGTTTTCTTGGAAAAGTACCAAAACGCTGGTTGCTCAAATCTGTATATTATTGTATCAGGAATTAAGACTTGTGGACCTGATTTAAAAAGACAATCCTTAGACCAGATGAAATGGAACAAATTTTCAACTAGACCATCGCCGTGTAGATCTACTGATTATTTTGATGCCATTATGCTAATTTTATTTCTTCAAAGTTTCTTAATTGTAATTATTAATTTACATCTTATTGCATTATTCAAAGTATCTTGGGGTTTTGGGGTTTTGGGG